CACGGATGAGCGACACGTAGCGGGCCAGCGCACAGGTCTCCGCGTTTGCACCCGGGCTCTGGCGCTGTGCGCGGGAGCTTCTCCTCCTCCCTGCGAGCCCGGGAAGCTCAGGACGCACCACCTCCTCGCCAGCCACCCACTGCTGGGCATCGGTTTGCTGCCCCTTGGGCTCTCCACGCCCCACCTCCTTCGCGCTGGCCAGGGTCCTCCGGGAGGAGAGGATGCCGAATCCTTTTTGCCTGAAAGATCGACCTCCTCTTCGTGCACTCCACTCCTACCCCCATTTTGGTCTGAGTGCATAGCCATCCCTTCCCAAAGTCAGAGGATTTGCGGAAAGAAGGAAAGAGGAGCGAGAACCCCCGCCGACCTCCCGAAAGCTGGTTTTCTGGAGCCTGGGGTTTTGTCTAACGGTGCAGGTGCGCGCGCAGTTCTGTCCGCAGCAGTGGTGAATGGACTCGCATTGCCCAGAGAAAGAATGAATGAAATATTACGAACAGGGGAGAAATATTGTCCCGCTTCCCAGCGATCCTGGAAAGGTAGAGACCCAGAGAGCTGAAAGGGAGGTACCCACCCCGCGGACACAGCCTGGGCGTGACTGTGGCGGCTGATTTACCAGCTGCCCGCATCGGCGCGCCATTGGGCAGGTGCGCATCGCGCGTGCGCGTTCCGTGGCCGCGGGCAGACTCGGCTGTGCAAAGGCGGCGGCGCGCACATGGCAGTGATCTGCCCATCGCCGGGGGTCTGGAGCAGAGCCCAGAAATCCGCTCTCCTGGAGGCTTGCGGCTTGTTTTAGTCACCTTGTTACTGCCGGGAAGTGGTTTCACCTTCTCTAAGTGGACTCAGGGAGCTTACAGAGCCTGATCTCCCTTCTCTCAAAACTGACTTACTGTTGCCCCCGCCTGGAAGATGCTGAAAGCTATTCACGCAGAATATAAACTGTGGCTTTGCCCTTGCCCTTGCCTCTTTCCTCAATTTCATTGGAAAGTAATTTATTTTTGAATATGTAAATTTGGAAAGTTTTGTAGTTCAGTAGTGACATTTCTCGCAGACCTCCGATCCAATACATTTCGAAATAAGAAGCCGAAAATAAAGGTGTATTGCTGATTAAAATTTTATACTGTGAAACAAACCAATAACTTTCAACTGTCTGATAAAACAGTGCCCAAAGACGAACCAACAGTTTTTCTGCCTTTTATAACCAAAATATATATATATATATGTATATATATATATATATATATAAATAATGTATGAATATATGGTATACATTTATCAGACAATATTATTTTGAATTTAGCTGTGTGTTAATGTTGGAATCACTGAAGTGTTCGCATCCAGTCATGTGACAAAAACAAAGAATATATATGTATCTGATTCTGTAACTAAGAAGATGAAGTATGAGTGTGCGTCACAGGTGGGTTAGATACCCTTTTCAGGGGGAGGTCCCAAGTGTATTTTATATGAAAACATTTCTGATTCCATTCTTTTTGGAATTTGGAATAAGACAAAGTTTTCCTGCTTGAAACTCACAGAAGAGACTAGAGGTATTCTATTATCCCTTGCATATTTATGCAAGCTGTCTGCATGATACCCTGATACTATTCTTTTAGCTGAACCTGAATGGAGTATTTGTAGCTATCATACAAGTGAAGTAATTTATTGGCTGTTGATAAGTGACTGTGGCTGCAGTTTAGGAGCTGCAATATGGTGTGTTTCGTACTTTCATTGTCTCCATAATAAAAACAAGAAGCATTTATAGGAAAATAAAACACTTTCATGACATTTATTTCATGGCCAGATTGCTCCGAGATATTTGTGTGGCTGTTTTCTTCCACAAACCCTTATAACCCATCCAAATCCCAATTTCACATTCGAATGGGGCTGAGGGAGAAATGATGCACATGTGGGAATGTACATTGCAAAGATGGGAATTACATGAGATTTGTTTTTTTTTAGCATTTAATAGGAGTCCCTGAAGGCCCAGTGACAGCTGCTGTAATATTCAAGCAGCTTATTTCTGTGCATCTGTAACATCCACTAACACTACATTCTGTTGCCACACTTTGGTTTGGGATTCTGTGCAATGTTTTCAGGTGCCTGATACTAAGAATTGCATTTCTGAGATTATTTTTAATTAATTTATGTCCCTATATCTTGTGTTCCTTCCACTTCTATGTTTATCTTTTTACTCTCCTTTTATTTACCTCCAGTACAGAGGTATCCTTTGCAATCACTTTAGTTGTGCAAATGTCTCTGCACATGTATACATGCACGTGTTGTGCATATGGCTGTATATATAACATGTACTGGCACACCAGTAATGCGACTTGGCTTTGTGGATGCAACCTTGTCCATATGTGTACACAAGCAAATGTTTGCCATTTCACTCCATTAGACTGACAGCCCAGAAGTCTGTCTACATTTACTTGGGGACCAGTTTGCTTCTTACAGAGTTTATTTCTATTCCACCAAAGTACACCAGTGATGTAACCTAAATTATGCCTCATAAATGAGAAATATACTTCCTAGTTGCCTCAGTCCTGATCAAAGCCACCACATTTTACTTCTTTCACAGGTAGTACATGTAAACTTCTTGAATGAGAAACTTGGTTTAGACTACTTTCAAGTCAAATAGATAGAGTTAGTAGCTCAATACTTAGTTGTTTTTTTCCCCACGATTGACTTTACTGCCGATTTCTGATTTTGTCAATCAAGTAGCAGGATCTGGTGACTGGTTTCCTGGTTGTCTGGCATTCAGGTGTGTCCCCACACCCTATTCTACAGATTTGATTTAATCATTCCTACTTTTGTGTGGAGAGACCTAGTATACAGTTATCTGAGACCAAACAAAGCTTGGAAAGTAATTATTGAAATTATTGAAATAATGGAATACTTTGTTCCTTTTGCATGGCATTTCTAATCTTCCTGGAGGAATCTGATTCAGGCCTGGACAGTCTCCTGCTCAGGATAAAAGCCAAACCTGATCTGGCCTGAATAGGTGGTCAGGAACTTGGCTTCCTGTGGCTCCAGTGCTGTGTAGGTTCTAGGGCTAGGAGTTAGGGTTCTCATCATGCATCCACAGACTCTGCAGTTCCAGTGCCAGGGGTGGGTGAAACACTTGACTCTGAAGGAAGTCTGACTTGATGAATGGTGTCCACCAGCAAAAGGCCCATTGGTTTTGCAATCCAAAAACCAGCATCTGTAGCCAGGAGATGTGAGTCTGAATGTTGGTTCTCTCGCTGTTTGGAGAGATCTTAGGAAGTTATTTAACCTCATTAGACCCAGACTCCTCGTTTATAACAGGAAGAGAAAAATATTGGCCCTTTTACTTCATGGCCTTAGTGTGAAGCTTTGTATACTTGAGACTAAATGGCTAAAAATGCTTTGGAAAGTAAAGCCTGATGTATGCTTATAGTCTTATTCTCATTCAGATCTCCAAGGATTTGACCTCACCTCCCTAGAGAGCACTGCCTCACCACTCTGTCTCCAGAGAGATATTGATCCCAGTTTTACTTCCCTTTTTCGGTTTAATTTTGTTTGTTTGTTCTTTGAGATAGTCGTGCTATGCATGCAGTTCAGGCTGTCCTTGAACTCACTATGTAGCCCAGGCTGGTTTAAAACTCATGGTGATCCTCCTGCCTCAGCCTCCAGAGAGTACTGAGATTAAAGGTGTGTGCCATCACACCTGGTTATTACTTCCTTCCTAACACAGCTATCTACAGTGGTCTTACTTATTGGTTGCATTTTTTTCCTCAATCATCAGCAACCAGCATATAAAGTCAAAGACAAGAACCTTGTCTGCTTGGTCCTTTACTCTATCCACCAATGAGTGCTCCTCTACTCCAAGCCTTAATGAGTTGGCAGCATAAAAGAATGTGACTGAAGACTATTGTGTTGGGTGTGCTGGAGGAAAACTGAAAGGAATTTTAAGAAATTTAGTTCCTAGACTCACTCTGTCACTCAGTAATATCTCTGGAAGCCCTGAGGGTCTTAGGTAAGCAATTGCCTTTTCTACTTCATAAGAGTTATTGA